TGCACAAGTGCACAGTCATTGCTTGAAGAAATATGCAAGGCATACACAGTAGAAATTTTGATCTAAGTTGAAAGAATATGATTATATATGTAATAAATAATCTCACTCACTATTTCCCCAGAGGCCTAGATAGGTGTTAAATTTTCTGCCTTTTTCTTTCTAGGATTTCTTTGGCAAATGTGTTCAACTGAGTGAGCCAATGATTGGTTCCCAAAAAACAACAGTGCATTTGAAATTTAATTAGTAATAAAAAAGTTATTTATTACCAAGGACAAGAGCAGCACCAATCCATCCATAAATACCCCATCTTTCACCAAGAAAGAACCAAGCAAAGCCAGCTCCCCAAATTGGTTCCAGTCTGTAAATAATAGCTGCTTCAGTTGCTGATACTTCCTGCGCTGTAGCCATCTGCAGAACCAAATGCATTCAGAAATGATGGACACCATATAATAATCCTAAATGACAATAATTTCCTAAATGGTCAACAGTACTCCATATTCATAGCTATTTTACTTGTGACAACAAATGGTATGCTTAATAGTTCATTATATATCTAATTTACCTTCCACATATCATTTTCCAATTCCAGATTTCCAATTTCCAGTTTGACTGCTGATTCACAGTATAGTGATTCTAAGTTGGAACTTAGGGAAGAAGTACAAAGGCAGTAGGAAGAAAAAAATTTTGAGATGTGTCTTTCATTTGTTTAGGCCCTTTTAATGCCTATACAAATTAATACTAGCCGTGATTGTAACTAGAGACTAACCTTTATTCAATGCAAATACGAAGATCAAGTCTTTTGAACTTAATTAATCCATGTCTTTACTCAAGTTTTCAATAAATCAACACTCCAAATGCTTAATTATATCAGTCCTAAATGCTTAAGTTTCTATTCATGCTAATGTTCTCAACATTACTCTAATTCAAAATGTAATCTGCATGTTATCTTGCTACCATACTGCACTCTTAAAAAATGTGCTCATTAAAATTTTCTGAAGCAAAAAATTTAAAAAATAGAGAGAGAGAGAACCTAATTAGAAATAAGATGAGAGATCAAGATTAAATAATAAGCAACCACGAGTGGGTAAAAAAAGAAAGAAGGCTCACATAATTTTAACTAAGCTTTGAATAGAGACGTACCTCTACCCATAAGCATATCCCGGAGAACACTCCTGTGTATATTGCTGGTATCCAAGGAAAAGAGACCCATGAAGCCCAAAACAATTCCCATGTCCAAGGTCTATGACTTTCATCAAACCATCCTTCGAATAAGAACCAGGTGATTGATGAGACTGCAACAACACATACCTGGATGAAACCTCAGAACTGCTCAGAAAACAGGCAAAAATATCAACATGTGCGATCAAAAAAAAAAAATAAAAAATTGCAGTTTTATAACTACTGGCTGCCTAGGAATTGAAACACCCAATTGCCCAAACGTTATGGTTGATATTTTGACAAGGCTCTTAACCTCATATCCAAGGAGTGGTATGAAGTTCTCTTTTGTTGTGGTTCTTGAAATTCTCTGAGTCTTCAACATATGGACACCAAAAAAAAATCGCACTCAGAAGGTTAAAAAGATCTCCAACCTGAAAAAAATTGATGCTGAATTAATCAAATAATAACAAAGTGTCAACATCTTTTAGCACAGAGTTTAGATAGTATGTGATTAATGATTTTTCATTAAAAATGCAACATGACTTAAAGCATAAATCACTTACACTAGGCGGAGACCCGCTACATTCAAGCATAGTGACCCCTACGACAGACATTATAGCCCCAAACCATGTAAGAGGTGGAATCACTGATCCAAACATTTCACCAAGCAAAGGAATCACAATCACCTGAGCAATAAATGACCAAGAAAGGAACAAAGAAACTTACTATCTATACACCATACCAAATTGGGCTTCGATACAAGGAACATAGGAACTTACTCCAATCATAGAGATAAAAGATGCCCGTCCAGCATCAGATGTAAGCAACCCAAATGCCTGCAAAAGATAAGCTAAACTGACCCATAAACCCAATTCTGCCCCTGCCTTACAAATGTGAGCATCATTTCTTGCTCCTAATGTAGCTGGTAGAAAGGGAATAGCTGATAGAGAAAATCTAACAACATTGAAAGTAGCAGGGTCCATAAATTCTTCAACCTCTTTTAAGACTGGAATGTCACTAGCTGCAACAATAATCAAACAATTTTTTCTAAATGTTGAAGTCGGAAAAAATGAATGTTAGTAATGTACCCTAAATATAAGCAAGTAACCAGACAACAGATTTGGCTACACGTATCTATGAAAGCTCAAATTTTTCACTGCCATAAGGCCATATGTGAAATCCATGACAACTGACACTACAATTGCAACAGAACACAGTAGGTCAAGCACGCCTCAACTCCTGATCCGTGATTAACCATAACTCAACTTTAACACTCAATGCCTTCTCACAGCGCTTATTATTCTTGGGACTATGATAAAACTTTCGTTTCCTTCTCAATACAACCCGTACATCCTTGAAAGTTGAAACTCGTAACAATAATGGTACAACATAGATTTTTCAAAGAAAATATTGCCAAGGCAATTGTAGTTGGTGCGAAAAGATTGTTCCTCAATATTTGCCTTTGCAGCAATTGTATAAGTTGAGTATAACTAGTATCACCTAAAAAGAATTTTCTCAACCTTAATCATATTCAATGCCATTTTTTCTAACATTAGTCCTACAAATTATCAAAGTAAAATGTATATTTTACCCAGTGAAGCACTATAAAAGCAATTAAGATCGAAAAGCTTCCAATCAATCAACTTGAATTACATAGTCTTTGTTGTTGAATACAATATATAATTGCATAATTTTGATATGTTTTCGACATCAGTCAAGGTAACTAACTGGATGCCTCTTATTAATATCAACACACAGGCCATGTTTAGTTCACCATATTTCCACTTTATCATAGGAAGAATAAGTTTGGCTAAAAACAAGTCATAATAACAAGTTTAAATAAGTTCAGGTAAGTTCAAATAAGATTAGATGGAAAATCAAGTGAAAAGAATGCACCCTTGGCCATCGTTCGAAATTAATCTAATATTGCTTCATACAAGTACAATGCACAACACAAGAGCAGAAAAGTTGAATAAATTTATAGAAAAATTAACAAAAAATTCAACCCAAAAAAATAAAGATAATAGAGAACACACCATAAACAATAGTAATGACATTAAGCAAAATAATGGCGCGAAATTTCTTGGAGGTGAAAAAGGTCCTACACCACAATGATTGGCTGTGGAATAACAACTTGAATGAATTGAACCCAATAATTTGTGGGGATTTGATTGGTTGAGAAGCCGAAAGCGCCTTCGGTGGAGTATTATGATTGGCGGGTGTCCTACAAAGGTAGACGAATCTGTTGGATGGCTTAGAACTTGTAATAGGAGAAGGTGGATGAGGAAATGAGAGACAAATGAATGGATTTGAATGGTGACAGAAAAATGAAGTTTTTGAGGTTTGCTGCTGCCATGGATATCTGCTGCTTGAGCTTGAAACTACTGCTGAAGCCATTTCTGTTACTCTCCCACTCTCTCTATCTCCTCTTAAGAGTTTATGCAAAAAAATCCTACCTTTTTTTTGGTTTATGCATTTGGATTGTACAAATAGATGGATTTGATTTAACTTATTTGAAAGGGGTCAGATTCTGTTTGTGTAGTGTGGACTCAGGTGTGAAATGATGAAAATGAAATATGTTTCATTCTATCGGTTTAATTTTGATTTTGACGGTACATACAAATGCATTAAGACAAATCTAACAATGTCACGCATGACTATTCTTTAATACTATATATCAATATTTACGATATTTTGAATCAACTTTTCATTATACTAGTATTACTCCAATATTATTAATGGCAAGTTTTTTTTTTTTTTTTTTCTCTTGAACAAGTTGGTGCTAGTCTAATGAGTGGTATAACTAGATATTAATAAATGTGATAACCCAAAAACTGGTGTTATTGAGCGTTACATTGCCTATTAAACATAAGAAGTACAGAGTAGTACTTAGATTTTGTATCGATGTATGAATCGATGTATGAATAGTGGTCAGTTGTTGGGTCCGTATCTGATTCCCATAAATCGCACCCAAGAGCATGCATCTGTGTAAAGCCCGTCATTATATTTGAATATGAATACTACTTCCGTTTTATATCATGTGCAAGTGCAACAAAGGTTATGGCACAGACTCCTAGGCAAAATTTGTTTGTAAGTGTTAAATGGAGATAGAAAGATAGAACGCAAGTGATGAGGAGAGAGATAGAAAGAAATGACAACTTGAAAAGGAAAGAAAACATTTGTTGCACATAATGTATAGCATCCATTTTTAATAAATATTGCACATAATATGAAACGGAAGTAATATCATATGTTGGACATTTTCCTCCTACATGACACAAACGACACCTTCAGTCATCACTTTTGCTTATAACTCTCCTTGTTCTCAATCTTCCTAAAGCAGTTATGTAGCCACAAATGAATGAATAGCGATATTATATCAATTCTAAACCCACTGCATTCCTAATTAATTAATATTAATGATCTAAAACGAGTAGTTTGATCTATATTGGAGCTTCAGTAATCAGTTCTTTCATAAGATCTAGGCTAGGAGCCCATGGATTCATCACAACAGGCTGACAGCCATCCAGATTAATATGATTTGTTCCTAACAGCACAGGGTCAACTTCAATTGCTTTGTTCTGTTTTGTTCCTACCATCCTTATGTCTAATTTTCGCCATAAACACCCCACTACTTAACAGCACAGGCTTCTCAATACCATTTCTCCCCATACTCTCCTTGCAAACGCATTAGCAACATGAAATGGAGGTTTTATCCTGAAAATGTAACAGGCAAATTGCAGTTTCCTAGTATTCAATTTCAGATTGAACAACTTTCGCAATTTGTAACCATTTTAACAACATGCTGAGAGTTGTGAATTTCTGATAAACAAACATTGATGTGAAGTATGTAAATAGCTGTATATATGCCAAATTTCAAAATTGTAACAAATTCATATCTATACATTTTAATAAGATTATATATCCACAACACTAAACACAAAAAAAATTATAAATATGCCAAACTTCGAAACTTAAGGCAGCACTGCAGTTGGCTACTGGCTTAGATGAAGGATATCAACATATTTTCGCTTTAACTGTTATGTACTTATGTATCGGGTTTATGTACACTAAAGCTATGGTGCTTTCTATACATACACTGCACATCTTAGATACATTATAATAGTGTGATCTACCATTCCAGATCTAAAATTTGAGGCCTAATCTAGATCACCCCTCTCTACTGCCAGAATCTGTAGATGATAAAGACCCAAACATATGAACAACTAGGTTTCCACCTGCAACAAAGGATAATTTGTAATAAGCACAACGAGTGAGATACAACCACCATGATCACTCATACATAATAACAGGACATATTCAAGTATAGCACTGGATAGAAGTTTAGATATTAATGCATGAGAGACTGGAGCAAACTTGAAAACAAGCCGCTGGGCAAGGAACAAGAGTGGCTTCTATATACGAAGTAGGTAATAATGTTTAGAGTTTTCCTTTTCCTTACGTTTCTAACATTAACGTATCCTATCCCTCCATAAAATCCTTCCAGTGAGAAAACCATAACAAATAGAGAGTAAATTGAAGCATTTATGGTAGTGCCTCCCAATTGGAGAAACAAAAGGTTTGGATAGTACCAGTGAGACACATAGGGATTCTGTCTGATAAGAAGTTTGACAGAATCAACTAAAAAGCTGATTGAAACTCCTTCAGGTAAGCCATTGGGCTAGTAAATCTCTCTCATAAGCAGGCAGATTGTAGCTCATCAAAACTTTTTTTTTTTTTCGACGTGCTAACCTGACTGGACAAACCCTACAGTGTCATCTGAATCAGGTTTCTGATTTAGCTTGTTAAGTTGATCTGCAGGTCGTTTTCATGGCTGGTAAGGGGGTAAGGAGGAAAAGAGTTTCTATCGAACCATAGTACCATACATTCACGTTTCCAAGTCCAAAGGTTGTCTAGGCTTGTTTAATCTTCGGGATTGGAATTTGGTTACCCACTTTGAAAAAGAAGCCTATGGTAATTAAGATGAATCAAGTCAATCAACCAATCACTGCTATCACTTGAACCATGCCAATTCATGTGAAGCTCACATTCTTGAGCAGGCTTTCTTGATAACTATGGAGTAAAAACTATTATATAATAGGAAAGATCATAAGATTCCTATCATTTATCAATCATAGGCCTGGTCTAAAATGTTACGGTCACTTCTGGAACTAGCAAAAATTTTTGCAATTCGCTAGCAGTTCTTTAAATGCTTCTTAAGACAGAAAGAATTGGTGAAATGAGGATCAATAAAAAAAAAAATTCCACCTCAAAAATCCAAGCTAGATGCAGAGGCTTAAATTTCAAATGGCTAAATCTGTTCCATTCCAAGTGGGAAGAGATATGGGGCTCCAATCAAAAGGACCGAAGCATTGGCACATAGATATGCATAGGCGTACTTGCAGCACAGATTCACATATTCATTAGAATCTTTCCTCCAGATTTAAGGACAAGCCCAGATAGGTGTTGATTTTCTTTTTTCTTGTTTTTTATTTTATTTTATTTTTTGGTGGGCGGGGGGATTGCATTTGTAATTTACAGGGCATGTGAAGACTAATCAAATTAGTGATTGCTTACCAAGGATAAGAGCAGCACCAATCCATCCAATAGTGTCCCATCTTTCACCAAGTAGGAACCAAGCAAACCCTGCACCCCAAACAGGTTCCGTTCCATAAATAATTGCTGTTTCAGTTGCTGATACATCTCTCATTGCAGCCATCTGCATAACCATACGCATTCAGAAATGTTTATGCACAAAAGAATTTTACCTATGGTATCCTAGATGGTCAGCAATACACCATATTCACATTATTTTTACTTGTGAACAAAAAAAAAAAAGCAATGCTTGATAGCTCACAATGACCTAGATGTATCTTCTATACTCACTGAAAAGCGTAATGTTACCATTTTCAAAAATAAATAAACAAAACATATCTTCTGATTTTTTAATCTACTACACGTAAAAATGTTTTCTCAAAAAATTTCACAAGGTTCAGTGGTTCACTAGACCCAGCAATGTAAAATGCATAAATTTTCCACAACTTAAGCTTCTGTCATTACTACTTTCACCACATGACTCTAGTTACCATTAATAATGCAGAAGGTCATCAGCATGCAACCGCTATTAGCAAAAAGAGCTCTAAATCTGTTGTCTGTCAATTAGTTTATGCAATACATGCTAGATGGCCAAGAAATAATATTAAGAAGAACAAGAAACAGGAATGTAATTCATACACAAACTTAAATAAAGAAGTAAGTAGCCAATGCTCAGACGAAGGAAAAAAGTAAGTGTAATATAGGTCAAACTAAGATTAAGAAAAGTTTACCTCTACCCATAAGCATAACCCGGTTGTCAACACTCCTGTGTATATTGCTGGTATCCAAGGAAATGAGACCAATGAAGCCCAAAACAAATCCCATGTCCAAGGTCTAACACTTTCACCAAACCAACCTTCGAAGAAGAACCAGATCATTGATGATAGTGCAACAACGCATACCTGGAGGAAAAATCAGAACTGCTCAGGACACAGGTGAAAAAATCAATATTTTCAATTGACAGGCCTTTTTTTTTTTTTTTTTTTTTTTTTCTTCCCTTTTGGGGTTACATATGCAAAGTATTTCTGAATAGAAAATGAACCTCAATTGCCAAAAAGTTGAACATGAAAATTCCTTCAGGGCTCCTAAGTGAACTTACCTCATATCCAAGGAGCGGTATGAAGTTCTCTTTGTTTGTGCATCTTGAAATTCTTTCAGTTCTCAACATATGAATGCCAAAAAAAACTGCACTCAGGAAGTTAAATAGATCTCCAACCTGAAAAATGATTGACTGAGATACGTAATTAAGAAATCAGACAGTGCCATATCATCTAGCACAGAGCTCTGATAGTGGTGATTACTAATTTATCTTTCATATAATGACATAAAGCATAAAGCACAGATTGGCCTGGCATAAGACACTTACATCAGGCGGAGACCCAGTAGATTCAAGCATAGCAACCCCTACAACCGACATGATGGCACCAAACCATGTAAGAGGTGGAATCACTGATCCCAACATACCATCAAGCAAAGGAACCACAATCACCTGAGCAGAAGAATGACCAAGAAATCAACAAAGAATATCACAATCAATACATCACAACCAGATGAGCTTTGATATCTGGAATATATAAGCTTACTGTAAGTATAGAGATAAAAGATGCACGTCCTGCATCAGATGTAAGCAACCCAAGTGACTGCAAAAGATAACCTAAACTGGCCCATAAACCCAATTCTGCTCCTGACTTGCAGATGTGAGCATCATGTCTAGCTTGAAATGCAGCTGGTAGAAAGGGAATAGCTGAAAGAGTAAATCTAACAACATTGAAAGTCGCAGGGTCCATAAGTTCCTCGACTTCTTTCAGAACTGGAATGTCACTAGCTGCCATAATAATCAAATCATCATTAATAATGTTCAACTGGAAATTACATGTTAATAGTATCATTAAGCAACTATAAAAATAGGCAAGCAATTAGAAACATTATGACAGCTATAATATTTCACAATTTTCACTACATAAGTTTCAATGTAGGCAGTCAAATCGCGCCTCAACTTCTGATTCATAATAAACCACTGGGAATCATATAGAAGACATATCTCTACTCAAAAGCACCTCACAGCACTAGTCATTTCCAAAATTCATAACACCAATTTTAAAGTAATAATCTTTCAAAGACCATATTTACTGCTGCCAAGACGATTGAAGTTGGTAGGAAAATATCACTCCTCAATATATGCAGGGACAGTAGTAAAATTATCCTGGAAAAAGAACTCTACCCTAATCATATTCTAGCCATTAATTCTGTCTTAATGAAGCTAATCTGCATTAGTACTACCATAGACAAATGTATCAATTGAAGCTCTATCTAAGTAATTAATCAACACCTACAAACTCTAATACAAAATTACAAATTACTACTATAACAACAAAGCCTTAGTCTAATAATGATCTGGGGTTGACTCACATGAGGAGCAAAAATGATTTGGGGTCGGCTAACATGAATCATAGAAACCGTCCAACTCCAAACTCTAATAATAATTATTATCTAAAATATATAAACTACAATTAGCTTCATAAATAATACCAAATTAACAATCATCACAAAAACATTTAAATTAATTTTTTGTGTTTAAAAAAAAAGAAAGAAGCAAAATTAAACCTAATACAGAACAGAATTAAGAACGCACCATAGATAACAGTAATGACATTAAGCAAAATAATGGCGCGAACTTTCTTAGAAGTGAAAAAGATCCTACGCCACAATGATCGCTTTCGAGACAACACCCGAAATTCATGGGATTTAATCGGTTGAGAAACCACTATTGCCTTTTCTCGATTATCATTTGCAGAATACTTACAAATGTAAACGTATTTTTTGGATGCTTTAGAATTTGTTGTAGAAGATGAAAATGAAGAGAGAGAAATGAACGAATTTGAGAAAGATGAGAGTGTAGAATTGGTGTGTGTTTTTAAGATTAACTGCCATGGATGGCTGCTGCTTGAGCTTGATAGTGCTACTGAAGCCATTTTTGTCTGATTTTTCTCTGCTACTCTTTTACGTTTTGATTATTGATTTATGATTTGTAATATTTGAATTGATTTGATTTGATTTTTGGGGGAAAGAAGTCAGATTTTGTATGTGGACTTGAGTGTGAATTGTGAAAATATCTTTCACTCGGTCTGTAATATTCATCACGTTTTTCTTATTTTGGTTTTCGGACATTAATTTAATTAGTTTCAATGTTTTACCTTTTTGCTCTCCTCACCATTGTCTCCGGCTAAATTTGTTTATTTGTTTTTTTGACACGTAAATTTTAGTCTAACAGTTCGGTTTAACGATGGTTAATTGAATTATGGGTTAAAACAGGTCGGGTTATAACAGATCCATATGGTTAGTGAATTGATTTGAGTTAGATTTTTTTTTTTTTTTACAGAAATATTAATTCTTTTTTTCTTTTCTTATCTTTTTTTTTTATTAATTTTTTTTAATTTTTTTTGTGCTTTAAATTCGGGGCTAATCGAATCATATTGGATTAGAAACGAGCTTAAGCAGGTTAAAGTGAATCTTGTTCAAATCAAATTAAGTTAGGTCATAATTGAATTGGATTATAAATAAGTTGGGTAATCGAGTAGCGGTTGAAACATATTGAGTCATAATTGAGTTGGTTCATAATCAAAGTCAGTCGACCAGATAGTAGGTTGAAATAAGCCGAGTACTAAATTTGTCGAAGTAATCTAGGTAGCAGGTATAACGCATCCAATCATGATGCAGTTGCTCAATAGTCATAATGGAGCTGAGTTATGTACGATATCGATTTACATAATTCAGATTATGAATAGATAGATTTAGTCGAGTTATAACAGATTTGTATTCATATGACGTTAAACTTCATATATGATATGTAAGCTCTATCTTCCATAAGTGTTCCAAAAGATTTAACATAAACATAAACGAGCACTCACATGTTTGATGTACAATCGTTTTTAGATGAACACCTCATTCAATAGCACCATGCCCAATTGATATACTTCACCTTATTCAATAGCACCATGCCCAATTGATATACTTCATTTTTATCACGTCCCTAGAAGAACAATTTAAACAGTCTCTTTTGTATACCAAATTTCTCCTATAATTTCTTAAAGAATGAAGGGGTGTCAATGTGTCACTTAGAGTAATTTGTATAGATAGGTCTGTCTATGCACTAGAAGTACTTTTGGAGTCTTGGTGCCTATACTAAAATTTCTGACAAGTATGATATATATATATATATATATATATATATATATATATATATATAAATATATATATATATATATATATATATATATATATATATATATAATATATATATATATATATATATATATATATATATATCATACTTGTCAGAAATTCAAAACATTTACGTTATTCCTTGTGGCAATACTGCATCTTAATTAGGTTCATATGTATGAATTAGGTTCATATGTACACATACAATGACATAGGGTGAATGCTATATACACTAATTTGCCATTATCATTTAATCTCATCCAATGGCGGAACCAGAAATTTTTAATAAAGGGGGCCAAGTGTAATATATGTAGTAATATGTCTGGTATAAAAATATTATGGAGTATATTGAAATATAAAAAAAAATGAGACCAAAAAAAAATGTTAGGGAGAAGGTTTGAACTTGGAGCTAGAAAAAGATCTCTATATTTTCACCCAAGAACAACTCATAACATTACAACTAACATAAATTAATGCAACATTTATTAGATAACTAAAATCAAGGGGGAGGCCAAGGCCCACCCCAACCCCCCTTGGTTCCACCCCTGATCTCATCTATGTTCAATGCTTCTAACTATTGATTCTTTTGCATAAGGTTTTATCTCCTTATATAAGACTCAACCAGAAATAAATATTACAATTTTATTTAATCCGTTGTCAACAAAAAAATATAAAAGAAAAAAATATAATGAGCAAAGGAGAAGTGAAAATATTGTCAAGTAATTAAGGTTTCACACTTATCCATAAAGATCTTAGTCATACATATTATTAATTTTATTATGTTTCGGAAATAATCTGGGCGAATTATAATATTATTGAAAATTCCTATTGCTATTGCTTCTTTTTTAAAAGGCGAGGTTGTTAAAGTATAATTACGCACTACTATGTTGCAAAAGAGGCTAAAATGGGCTGATTATAGTAGATGAGTTTGTTTTGAATGAATGTAGGATTACTTGTACTTCTTAATGTTTGGCCTGAAAAGGGCCTAATTTTATGAACTCGCACAGGGCCCCGCTAAACTTTGCCCCACCTCTGCGTGGGTGGTATCGGTGGCGTGATTGGTGGTGGTTGATGTGGTTGTTTTATAAGTGGTGGATGGACTAAAGTTAGAGAAAGAAAATGGGGAAATATTTTAGTAAGAGCAAGAATGTACATTTTCTTGATAAGTTGGCAGTGCGATAAATTTTGTTGGCGGTACGTTTTAGCAATTCACCCCAATATTTAAATCATGAATTCAAGTTTTTGAGTTCAAATTGACTTTAGCCAAATTCATCGTTTACATTACACCCATCATTTATAATATACCCTCATTTAGGAATTATAGAACTTACTAATTGTAAAAAGAAATTCTTTAATACACATCGTTTACATTACACCCATTGTTTACACTACGTCCTCATTTAGGAATCGATTAAATTTGCATTACAAAGTATGGAATAAAGGCAAAGGCTCTTTAATATAAGACCTGTAACAATTCTTACCCCACCTTAACTACTCTAACGATCTAACCCAACACCAACACCCACCATCCCACATTCCCACCTACACCATGGTAGACCAAGCCTTGATTATCACGATACCATGCTCAAACCCCAATCCATTAACATCTCCCATACCCAATAGCCCTAGGCCACAACCACCACACCCTCGCCTGAAAACTTACTACGACTATCATGTTAGAGAAGGGCAACCTTAAAACTGAAAAAGATTGAAAATAAAAGTTTGAAACAATTCTACCTAAGTACTACTCACAATATGGTGGGTATGATTAAATCATTAGTCGAAATTTAGAGGAAAAAAAGTCAAAGAAGTGTTTAAAATTGTTTGTGGTTGACAAAATGAGGTTGGAGTAGTGACCTGAAATTGAGATGCTATCCTAAGTGAAAGTCATTGTCAATCACCACAACTAAAAGGGTAATTCCAAGTTTCTCTTTTTGTTAAACATGGAACGTATCTCAAGGGGCTAAATTTATATTTTTACGCTGGAAATTGGGGGTACGTTGGTCATTCTGTATATCTGTCAATTAACACATGGTCAAGTTGGGTAACGGGGTTAACAGATGGTGAATTGGCATAAGGTATTCACTTCACGGAATTACTCCAAACATCCTCACTTTCTCTCTCCTCAAATCTCCTTTCTCCTCATCCTAACCCAGCACCCCTTTTCTCCATGGAAATACCACCACCACCAATTCTCTCTCCTTCCTTGATTCTCCGCCCTTTTCTCTATCCACCTCACCATCAATGCAAGGCAAAGTCGTCTGCGCCACCAACGTCCATGGGTTCTTCTTCTTCCATTCTCTTACCTCCATTAAAGGAAATCAAAACCTTTAATACAGAAATTGGAACGCATGAACAACCTCAATGGAAGAGGAAGACAAACCTTGCCCTTAAGGGTTAACCATGTAATAATTTCTCCAATTTTTTTAGGGTTTTTCGTTTTGATTCGGTGGCGAAGCCGCCGGAAAGGCGAAGGAGAGTGAAGAAGATAGGGGCAACGAAGGTGATGGTGGTTTGCGAGCAAAATGATAGGGGCACCTGTTTGATGGAGTAACTTTGGTTGTAACAACAAATTAGATGGATGTTGAAGAACGACGTTAACAGCAGTAAATTCATCATTTCACACCGTCTAAACCAGTCCACATCAGCAGTTTGAGTGAATGTTACAGTTAGCGCATCCTTTCATTATAATATTATTACTTTACAAATCCGAATGCTTTATAATTTCATGAATGCCATTAGAGAAACGCTCCCTGTTTCTCAAGAAGATCGAGGAACTGGGGCACGCCCCAACTAAAATTTCTTTATGGCCTACTACTCAAATCATTCTAATCTTAATCTCTTATATTACCATCATTTTAATAGTAATCACACTATTTAGCCTTTAAACACCTAACAACCAGCTTAACAAAAGCAAAAATAGAGCCATACATTGTAATATATGTAAGGTGAGAGCAAAAAATAGTTTGATATCACATCCCAATATAAATCAATAACTTTTACATGAGAAAAGTAACGATAATTTGAATGAAAAAGAGTAAAATTCGTTAACCTAGATAGCAATGTGACCATAAATTTGGAAGATGGATTCAAAAGCCGAGGACTTGGTAGAGACTGGAGTGAGAAGCACCTCGTTTGAATGTGTTGGTCGTTGGACTTTGAATTGGACAGAAATACAACGGTGTGTCTTTTTCTATCAAAGGATCAAGATTTCGAAGATTTTAAGAATAAGTAGTGAAGCTGAGTAGACCATTGTTGAGATGGTGCAAAGCATCGAAGATGTACTCTGAATAGTCCTCAAAGTTAGAGGACAAGACAACATTCAACCATTGTTTGGTGTCTAAATCATAAGCCTTAAGCAATTGCTTGGATTTACGGCCAGCAATCATAGGTCCAAGTGAACAAGGATACGATCGTGTATAGGATCAGACACAAGCGGAGGAGAAACTTGAAATTTTCTCCCAATAAAAGGAATTGGCATTGGCAAGGGATTCCATGTATTATTAATGGGATAAAAAACCTCGCTGATGCAAGACTATTTTGTACTTCTAAAGACATAAAGCTGCCGCAAAGAGCGACACAATTTGGAAAATTCTTATCCTCCATGAAAAGAACACCTTTTTTCCAACCCATATGAGGGTTGGTTAAATCGAAATATGACATGCCCTTGTGAAATTCAACTATATCGTTTACTCCTTTACAATGGGAAAAATAAAAAGAGTAATCTGGGTTTAGACTTCCAGTTCAGGACGTTCCGAGGGTGTAAATTACTGAACCTACTGATAAAATTGTGTCGATCCCAGCATCCCCTAAGAGTGTAAAAGGAGTTTTTGACAATTCACCACTATCTACATCTAATATTTTGAATTCACTATAGGAGGAATAAGAAATTAAGATTGATATGGTTTTCTTCGCACTATGCAACACCCGTAATAAAACCTTCTTCTTTAACGAACACTTTTTCACATACTCATCACCCATTATTTCTTTGAGTAATCTATAGGAGAGAGAAGGAGGAGAGACAAAGAGCACACAATTGTTTTGAAAAGTGAGATTAGGGCGATTTAAAAATAAATAAATAAATAAATAAAAGGTGAGATTAGGGATATATCTATTTTGTATAGTGATTTACCCCTGTCCCTTGGTCATATTTAGGAGTATTATTGGCTCTACGGAGCTATTTTTATTACTAATATGCGTTTTCTAGTGTTTTCGTAGCTTTGGCATTATTTTGTAGGAAATTGCGGATTTGGAGCATTTTCCGAACTTATTTGAGCCACTACGAGCATTCGATATGGAGCACATTCTTATGACCATATTATGTATCCCAAAACCGCGTTAGAGTGATCAAACCGGTGATTAAGGGCCCGGCGAAAAAGAAGAAACCTAGGCAATGGACCGAGTTATAAAGACCCATTGAGGATATTCGAATTAGGCCTAGCAAAAGAGCCCAACCGTGGAATCTAATGTCGCCCAGTGGACTTGCTCGACC